ATGCCCTCTGGAGGGTTCAAGTCACACAGAAGGTACCTGGCAGGGAGCAAAGGAGAGCGGGTCTTCAGGGCCAGGCCTCTGCACAGGAATCCCGGCTTAGATAGAACAGATACAACGGGAATCCCTGCATAGCCCATGGCCTAGACTCCAGACACATTCAGCAGCTTCTGGTTTGTAGAGTGGAGGCACTGCCCACCCATCTCCATGTGGCCAATTACTTCAAGTCCGGGAACAGTTGCGGAAGACATCTTGGCATCTGTCTAACACCACTAAGCACCTGACTAGCACCTGAGCACCCGTTCTCCAGGGGCTCTCAAACTTCTTGTTCTACAGAACCCTATGCACTCTTAACAATTACTGAGAACTCCAAAAGGCTGTTATTTATGTGAGTTAAATCTATCAATATTTCCTGTGTTAGAAGTTGAATAAGAAGTTAGAAAAACTGTATGAATTCACTTAAAAATATTAACAATCTACTGTATGGTACCATTAATACTCTTAAACAAAATATAATTCTATTTTTCAAAACAAAAATCATTAGTGAGAAGAAAAGCAGTGATTTTAATTTCTGCAAATCTCTTATGGACTGGTGAGAGCTGAATTCTCCTATCTACCTCTGCATTCCCAGTTTTGTGATATTACAGGCCAGGTTTTTCCTGGAAAACCCCACAGGAACTCGGGAGAGCAAGAGTGTGAAAAAGGCAGGTGACATCCCCGCGTTTCTATGAAAATGGTCTTGCACCTCAGTGGCCTTGGATACACTTTGATTACTGCTGCCCTATCCTAGGCGAGACTCTTCTGCACTAGAGCCAGGCAAGGGTCCTGGATTCTGTAATGAGTTATGGCCACCACACCCCTCCCTTCTCTGTGTGTCTCTCACAACCTCCATTAATGCAGATGAGGATGTAATCCTCAGCCGGGGCCTCTAATCCCAGAAGACTGCTAACTTCAGAGAGAGGGACCCATCTACCATCCCTACACCCCGCATAGTTTATTTTGAGTCAAGCCCTGGATAACTGCTTCTCGGCACTGACCCTTGTCTTATTCCTGAGGTCGACTGAAGGAACCAACATCTGGATGGAACTGAAATTTCCCTGCAGATAAACAAGGCTGATAAACCACCCCATTCCAACATCTGATTCTGGGGCTCTTCAAAACCCGGGTAAGGCCCCGCTTCATATAAGATGTGTCCTCCGCCTGCCGTTCCCGGGGGGTTCTGGGAGGCCGCGGCCACCAATGGCGACCCAGACTCGCGGCCCCAGCCCCAGGGCCTGAGGGGGAGGAAAGCTTGAGGCTGTGCCCAAGTCCTGCCCCGCCCCACCCCAACACGCTCCCGGCACCACAGCCCTCCCCGGCCGCCACCCCAACCCCGATCCC